TCCATCTTCAGAGAAGACCTGGAGCTGAATTCCTCCTCCCCGCAGCGAGGTGGGCAGTTTCAGAGCCAGACTGAGCAGCAGCCTGGCTAGCAGGTACAGCAGATGAAACATCCGCTTGCATACAGCGAGAGTAGCTTTAGCTGGGGTTTCCAGTTCCCATGGCCCTCTTGCTTTACAGTAGGTCTTGAAATAGGAAGATGAAAAAGTGACTTGCCAGGGCGTTTTGATAAATTCAGTGGAACTACTGGGAACAAACCAGTATGTGTTCATTCTCCCTATAGTTTCCCATAAGCAGTCTTACTTGCATTGGTAGCTGCCCCTTCCGCTAGCAGGACAGATGGGTTGCTGGGATGAAGATGTGCAGAAGACAAGCGTTTTCCAAACCAGTGCAACCTCAAGCTCACACTGCTGAAACAGTAAAAAGCCCGTGTCGAGCTGCACGCTCGTACAGCACATTACACACAGAGGAAGGTAAAAATATCTTGCCCCAGAGATCTTGCAACCTGCATGAACCAAGTCAGACAGATACAGAAGAAAAAGTGGAGAAAGCTGAAAGGCTGGGGAAGGTGGACATGGCTGGATCCCTTGACAGAGAAGGTGCTGCCCTGAGGGTCCTACGTGCAAGAGAGGGAGGGGTCTTGCCAGATGAGGACCAGAGCTGTTCTCAGAAGTTGGGGGCGTTTGAAAGAAAACTGGATGTCACTACAGAGTTGTTTCTCCCAGAGTCTTCCAAAGAGCACGAAAGGGAAGATTAAACTACTATGAAGCAGTCTGGGCTGGCAGAGCTGTAACTGGCAGCCGCAGAGGATGGGGCAAAAGAAAAACAAACCAAACCACAAAGCTGACACTGAAGGAAAGACAAACAGACAGAGAGAGAGTTGAAGAACAAGAACACGGATGAGCACGGCCTGGCAGCCTCCTGGTCCAAAGGGCCCCAGTTCCCCCCAGTCCATCTGCTGATTTGAAGACTCCTTATACCCACTGCAGGGGCTGGTGTAGAGGGATGCGGGAGAAAAAGGGTTAGTACATAAACACTGGGCTGGTAATAAGAGAATACTTGCATGGTTTGTACTGTGAACCACAGAAATGTTTGTCCATTACTCAGATAATAATTATAGAAAAATCAATCACAGCTTTTAATGCCAGCACCACTTTTTCTGATGAAGACATACCTATCCAAGTGTGCAGGGCTGTGATTTAAAAACAAACAACTAATGCTTTATCCCAACATGTTGTTTTCCAAATTACCTCAATAAATAGATACTTTGCACGACATTATTCTAAAGTGAATTAGCATGTTAACAAATGAGAGGAGTAACAAAGACCTGGAATAACAGTATTATAACTCGATTATCAAAAAACAACGTCAGACGGTGTTTTCAAAAGGAAGTAAACAGGAAGAGTGCATACCTTGAGAGGAAATTTAAAAGGAAGCATGGAGTCAAATGAAAGCAAATTAGTAACAAGAGAAAAACAAAATAAATATACAAAATCACATTCAGTTTCCAGGAGAATAATACATTCAAACAAAACTTCATTTATTTATCAAAATAGCTTGAATTCTGTTTCTACTCATGGCCATAAACCATATTTGATTTCCTATAGTGCGAAGAAATAATAAGCTTCTCGCACTACTCAATTTTTAATTGGGCTCTTCTGATCGATACAAGACAGCCGTTATATTGACAAATAACCCTGAACAACTCCTCGTCTAGAACCCCTTCATACCCTGAGCATCGGTACCTGGTACCCCCTAAGCTGGGAGCTCGGTCCCTTGCTCTCACACCCGGCCAGCCCCCTACCTCTCTGGCCGGCCTCGCGCGGCCAGGCGGCCCTCACCTCTGCTTCTGAGACAGACCACAATAAATAACAGCATCTAAAGCGCTGACTTGAGATGCTTCCATCATAGGAACTGGCAGTGGGAGTTTCAGAAACATCTAGCTACCCAGCTCTCATTGCTATTTTGAAAGTCCCACCTGGTCATTCCCATGGCCTTTAATAGGAGTCTCTTGAGTCTTCTGCGGTGAAAACAGGGATCTAGAAATATCCCGTCTTAAATGATCAACCTCATGAGATAATTTTTAATGAACCCTCTGTCTTCTTCCATCAGCAATTAATTAATCTAGCCTCTTTGTTCCACATGGATAAAGAGCAAAATGAAAATACATGCTCTCATGGAGATTTCAAAGATACTTTCGCTCAGAACAGTGTTACAAATTTGACTGTGTTTTCTCCTGATTCCATTTGCTGTACACATCTTACATGAAAGCAAGTTTAATAATCTACTTTTATCCATCAAAAGTGAATTTTCAATGCTTTAGCTCACTATGCAGAAAACACAGCAGCCTTTGATAGCAGAACAAAACTGCTGGAACAAATGTTGGTTCCATCAAGGGATGCACTAACCCCCATCCTTTGGCTGCTATCTGATTCCGTTTAGACGACTCCTATTAAATACAGAGAGGAGAGTATAGGGATATATCCTCTGGAATATCCACACAGCATACTCACCGAGGATAGATCTAACTAGGCATTAGATGTCACAGCTGTTCCGCACAAAGGCAGCTGAAAGAGCCTTTATCAGCAAGTACAAAAGTGATCTCTCCAGACTGCTTGTCGGCATCTCTCGACAAGTGCTGTGCGCTCTCATATAAGAAATTTATTCAGACAAAACTCACAATGGAAGAATGAAGCCCCTTTTAATGGCAATAAAATAGTATGAAACATTCATATAGTCAATGTACTGTGAATGGCATAACCTTACAAAGATATGGATTAAGAATGGAATACTTGGGAATAGTCCCTTCTATGGAAAAGAAATTTGACATTCAATCAACTTAAATCAACATACTGGTCAAAGGAACAGTGTTTCTGGAATTTAAACCAAGGTATTAAAATTCTCTTTTTTTTCAGTAACAATGCCTGTAACTGCCTGGAATCTGTTATCATGAAAGATAACAAACTAACTGGACAACGTCTTCAAACGAGGGCTATGCATTGATACTGAGCTAATAGCTTCCGATGGACAGATAAAATAAATAGGTTTACTGCTGTCTCTTTATTTTGTAGGTATTTCCAAGGCACTTATCATGGTAGTATTGAAAAAAAATAGAGTATGTTCCACTCGTTATATAAGGTAAATGGCTGAACATGTCGAAGAGTCACATGAGAGCTTAACAAAAATCCTATGCACTTCTATTTAACTGTCAATAACCAGACCTAGCGGAAACAGTGCAATGCCTGCAGCTTTCCATGTGATGTCCCAGTGCTTATTTCCCGGTCCTTTATATTGGGCACACACATGGTCAACAGCAATTTAAATGTTATCACTACTCATCACCTTTAACAGCAAGCAGAGGAGCAAAGTTTCAATACAGAATTGAGGAATAAAGCAGAAACAGAGTGTATAAACAGGAGGAGAAGGCTGACACCTGTAACTATACAGGGGGGCTGCACACCCAAACACTGGGAACTCCGCAAAAACTAACGCATGGCCATATCCAGGCAAACACGTGTGTGTCTCTTACGTATGATATATTTGCATGTGTCGGTAAGTATGGAATTGAATTGCTGCTACCAAGACTTTTAAAACATGCATGATGCCAACGGGCATACGCCAGTGTCTCTGAAAGTCCTGGATTTCGCTGCGATCTTTAGGAGATTGGAATGTGCACTGACTGTGAACTTAAAGGATCGTTATTACGTTAGAGCGGGTAAAATCACGATCCTTTCCATGAAACTTCATAGGAGTTTTGTCACTTGCTTCAGTGAGGCGACTTGAGAACCCTACCACTATATGGACCAGGAAAACCTGGCAACTTTTCAATGATTCAGGTATTGGAAAAGGTGCACAAACAGGGAGACTGACAAGGTGTTACTTTGAATATAAGTGCTTAGTTAGAAAAGATCTGTCTCTCTTGCTTTAATTAGCAACCTCGTTAAAGGGAAAACCTGCATCCTGTTTGTACTAAGCAGGCATTTTTAATAACCAAAATAGCTGTGAAGTGGTTATTAAAATATTGTCATACAAAATATAACTAGTGCTCCATCACTAAGAAAGTAGATTATTTTACTGCTTATCCCAGGCACATCACCAAAGTATTTTACCAGTGTAAATGTAGAAACATTACACGTCTATTATTCAAAAAACATCCATGGTATGCATTGTTCAATTAGAGAGAACTTCACTATTTTCAGGTGGTTTTCAAAAGGCTTCTTTAAAAAAGAAATATAGTTCTACAATAGTTAATACCAGTGCTCTCTCTTAAATTGGAACGAATATCAAACATGTTTTACTACAGCCTTATTCAGAAGGAGTAAGAAAAATCTTTACGGAAACTGGCAATGCTTATTAGACCATGTGGACTACAAACACAGGGACAACAGATTAGGCTGCCCTGAAATAACGATACACATACAGGGTAGCACGCACTAACTGCTAGAGGGGCACAAACGGAGACATGAACACATGAAAGACGGTGGTAAGCAAATTACTAATAGATGAAAGGATGGTTCAAGAAGAACAGAACTAGAGAAATTAGGCACAGGAGAAAGTAAAAAGACTAGCAGAAGCCATGACGGAGGTGGAGGTGTTTTAAAATGCTGTTGCATGTGACTTTTTTTAAATAAAGAATTCTTATTTTGCAAAGCAGCATATGTTATATGCACCAAGGAGATGACCGTAAAATGAGATATGCAGCAAAAACACGGTAGCCCTCCAAGCATTGCTGAAAACAGAAAACCCTATGCATTTTACAGCCTCAACATGGTGTATATAAGTTTGGCAGAAATGCATACATGGCATTATAAGGCAATGCCACTCACGCTGAAGGTGAATGTTAGCAAGCATGGTGGCTTGATGATGATGCTTGGCATTGAATGGAATGTCAAAATAAAAAATTTGGAATTAAAAGTAAATTGGAAAAAGTAACATATATGCACCATGGCATCAGAAAATGACCATAAAATGCAAAAAGGTGATGGAGTGATATGGAACAAACCTTGGAGAAATATCGCATCCTTGCTGCATAAAGGCACCCAGGGAAAACCAAAGGCTGTTAAATATTCCAAACTCATTTGGAGGGTCAGGAGGATTCTGAGGGTCACGTGGTTCTTCACTGCTGTCTTCCAAATGCCATTCGTAAGGGCTGAATCTGCTGACTAGGAAAAGAACTACGCTGACGCCAATGTAAGCAAAGACTATACACATCCAAATTTCGTAAGCCAAAGGATCCAGGAAAGAGAATACGCCCGGCTTAGATTTCTGAGGCTTCTTGATCATGATGGAGATGCCCAGGCTCATAAAGGGTTTGGAAAAGTCTATGACTTCTTCTCGCACCAATGTTATGGTGAGGGGGGCAACAGCTATATCTGCTCTCTGAAAAGGGAAAACAAACCCAAATTAGTTACAAAACAGTTGCAACATCATCACAGTCTAGAGTCTCAAGCTAACAAATTACAAGAGTGAGTAGGAAACATTTTCTTTGCTGCCCATTTTGCAGTCACTGACGTTAAGGATTACATGATATTGTTAGAAAATTATTAACGAGAAAAATTACAATCAAATCTATGCAAGGGCCTCACGACAGAGGCAGATATGTACCAACATGTATTTATGTTTCTATTAAGTTAAAACGGATGAAGAAACACGACGCAAACTGGACAGTGAGATGGCATCTAAACCAATGTCATTTTCTAGAAATGGTCTGTATCCAGCCATCTGCCTTGGAGACGTTGGGCAAATCATGTGTTTGTTATATTTTAACTTTCTCTTTTCCATTCTTTCAGCAAGTTCTCTTGTCTTACTGATTAGTCCAGGATCTCTAAAAGGAATCTAAGAGAAGTAATGAGTCACTGAATTTCAGCTGCATTTTGGCACTAGCACTTGTATGCTCCTTTGAAACCCCATTGCAATAAGGGATAGAAGATGGTAAAATAGTGGAGTGATAGGAACCAGGCAGCCCACCCTTTCTGTGGTCACTGAAGAATAGTAATACAGATTTGTGAGTCCCTGAGAAGTAAACAGCCTGGGTTATCTGAGAAGAATGCAAAGCAGTATTTTTCAGTATAATGTATGCCATCCTATTTTACAGAACTTATAGCTCTATAGATCTCTAACATAGACCATGCTCCGGGGCTGCGTCACCTGGAAGCACAATCTCATCTCATTGCATCTCTCATTCACCAGTGTGTTGGTGAACACTGAACCAACACCCTCCCCTTCAATCAGCACATCTTTGCTGGATTCCATGGGAGGGTAAGAATATGAAGTAAAAAAAAAAAATTACTTAGTTACCTGATTAAAAATAACATTCCTGAATAGATTTTCAACATACTTAATTGTATCTGTATTTCTATGCCAGAAAGATTCAGGTCATGCTGTTTAAATAACCTAGCCTTGATTCAGCCAAGTACCCAAGCAGGTGTCAGCATTTGCAATGGAGGGGACTAGAATGTTTAAAAAAAAAAAAAAAGGGCCTTTTTATTTAAAAATTATTGTTATGAGAGTCTATGTACCTACATACACTTTTTTCGTAATCTTCTATTTTAAACACTGTAACTATTCATGTTGTTGATACTTTTAAAGATGGCCTTTCATTGGTCATTACGAATTTCAGAAATAAAAAAATTCTTAGGGAATATTTAACTTACGAGTACCTAAACCACTATGTACCTTTTAAATCAGGTTTTTCTTTCCACTAGTAAGTATGTAACTCTTTCTGGTGGAAAAAATAAAACCCAATTATGTAGAAGACTGAATAAAAGTTAATAGGAAATGTTAATAAGTGATTAAAATCTGTACCATAAAATAATTGAATATGCCTTTATGTAAATTGGATGGTGATGTACGTGACTTTCATTAATATCTGATTTGTTCCTCCTCCTACATAGTTGTTTTCTTTTTTTTTTTTTTTAAAGTTTAATAAGCAGAAAAGGTGAAGGCTTCTGGTAAGGTTAATCTCGGTATCACAGGCTCTGGGCCAGCTGGTGCCCCAGCAGCCATGCCCCAGCAGCCGTGCCCCAGGCACTTACTCAGTGTTTTAAGACTGAGTCTATGGCAGACCTGCCAAGCTGAGGCCCGGCCCTGTACGGCCGCTCTGTGATGTGCCCGTCTGCACAGGCAACTCCTGCGTTTGCTCCAGCCACTCGGGAACATCTCTCAACATTTTGTACTGGCCGGTGCGAGTACAAGGTGCGTGTACAAGTTCACTGCTTGGAATAATCAGATAAAGCGTGCCTGTGCACGTAAGGAAGCCATTCGGAAATCACGGCCCTTGGTGTACCCTCCCGCAGCCCTCCTCAGCCCCTTTAGACATCCATGTGCACTAGGACGTTGCCTTTCCCCTTGAGTGACCGCCTTCCTCGAGGAGAAAACCCTGACCTGATTTGTGCTCACTTACTGCAAAAATCTAGCTTAACGTGGCTTGAATATGAAACCCGAAAATGCTGGCTGCCTTTGGATGCCTGGGTGATTACTGGCTCTGCAGATGTATGCGTTAATCACCTAAGTAATAGAGAGACTTGGGGGGACATAGGGAGAGTGTGGCCAAGGGACCGGATGATGCTGGAACTTGTTCCCTGATGAACTCCCCCAAAACATGTATTTGTCTGGTAGCTGCTGCTTGTTGAGCTACTGCTAAATGTCAGATGTCTGCAGTCAGTAAGTATGAGATGCACACAGAATATCAGTTTTAAGTGTAGTCAGAGTCCATGGCTGGCTGGAAGACCAAGCGTTTTGACCATGACTACTGTATGTTGCATTTAACTAATGAGGTACTTACAAATTAATCCTTATTAGAGTAAGCTTAACGGATCAGCCCCCCTGCAGAGCCTTAGCAATGATTCCACGCGAAGTGAAGCCTAGGTGGGAGCAGATGCCTTACTGCCTGGCACTTCTGCACGTGGGCAGCCAGCCTTGGAACAGCTCGTCAAGATTGGAAAAGGCTGGTTCAGCTATAATAGTTTCTGTAGCATTTTCCTGGACTCGGAGAAATTTAATTCTCCCAAAGTAATATTTTAATTGCCAAAGTAGACACGGTGGAGCTCTTCCTAAGTGCTGATGCAGTGTGCAATAAAGTCTGTATCTCCTTCATGAGCAGCTGAGTTCATGCAGGATGCTCCTGTGGGGTCTTTGGGAGGATGAAGCTGATGCTGTGCTGAAGCACAGATAAATCTGTTTTTAAAGGCCTGATTGTTACGACGTCCTCATTCACATTGTACAGTATGGATTTCTTTGTAAATTATTTAAAATTGCATTTTAGTATTACAAGGGATAGAAATATTTATTTTTTTGATATATTTCTGTCTTCCTGCTTTCCTAACATTTGTGATAGGCATTCAATATATTGGGAACACCAACAAACACCCTCGTGCCTTAAATGAATATGGCAGCAATTGCTTTCTGCAGAGGGAACAAGCACAGGATCAGACACGGGGTCTCAGGAAACCATCGATAATCAAGGCACTGAGAACAGACCAGCTACAATCCAGCAGCCAAGCCTGGTTCCCCACCACTTCCCTGAACGTTGGTTGGACTAGGGAGGTTAAAAACCAGACCGCGCTTTGCTTATTTATTTATAGGTACAGTATTTGAAATGGAGAGCTTATGGAGAGCTCTAAGCATCCTAAAGGATCATTAATAATTGCAGCACAGTTGTGAATTTCCCTCTCTGTTATGGCTGCAGATAAGCAGAACCCATAAAAATTGATCTCAATTAAAAAGAACACAACCACAACCACAACCATGCCCTTCCCTGTGCAGAACTGGAGGGGGGTTTAAGAACCTCAACAACTAAGCTTTGCTAATCACTCATGACTAATGGCATTTCAAACATCATCTTCACTGCATTTGAGCCGGGCGAGAAATGTCACGGATTCCTCTGAGGCTTGTTCTGCCTTTGCCTACCAGTGTGGGAGGGAGGGATTTGGAGAGGACATGCAGCACAGAGGCGCTACCCGCTCTGTTCAAAGATGACCCCAGGGGGCTGCAATCCTCCAGACTCTTAAGGGGAAGGAGAAAAAATAGCAAATGGAAATATCCCTCTACACGGAGAAAGAAAAATGATAAGATGTTCCACCTCTGTAATCCAAAAGGAGGGATTGAATTCTTCTGCTTCCAGACCTAAAGATGAATCTTCCTAACTTCAAAGCCATGCGCTAGAGACAGCAAGAGATACCAGCTCTGCTCCTGCCTGTACGTGCTTCTGGTCATTCATGCTTGCAGAACTGTACCATTTCTAGTGTGTCGCTTTCCCAGAAGTGCGTCTGGGCTACAGCCACTTTGCAAGACCTCTGTGTGACGGGAAGCCAGCCAGCACTCAGACCATGTGGAGCCTGAAGCAGAGGGACACTGCCCGATTTTGATCAGGCCGAAGTAGAGGTTTTCTTTCTGTCCAGTTTCCATCAGGAGCCAAACCTCCAGGCACCCTAGAAGTGCTGAATGCAGGTACACAGCAGCATCAGAAGAGACCGCGCGGGAATGACGACTGACTCTGAGCACAGTTCAGGACTTCTCAGTGCAGACTGAGGTTTCCAGGTATCAGAAAAGGGTGTCGGTCAGAGAAACACATCACCTGTGGCACCTGCTAGTAAAAGCTACCTTGTAAAGAGAGTCCAGTACACCCAAGGATACGAGGGTGTGTTAAGAGGCCAGGTCATGGAGGCAATGTGGTTTTGACACATTAGCTCACACATATTTAAAACCACCAGCTGATATCTGACTAGCAACATGCTGCGTTGAAGACTTAATGTGTATTAGCTGAGCAGTGTTAAAAGGTATTAAGGTGTTAAAACTGCAGTTGGCCCTGTCTGACACAGTTTGTCAAAGTTAGGTCCGTGCGTGCTTTACATGGATGCCCACAGTTCCTTCTGAGACACTACTGCTGTATGCAGATGGAGAAATTAAGGGTGCATCTGCTTTTTGAGCAGTGGACATATGTGCGCTTCCCCTGCCTATGCTCGGACACAGGTCAGCTGAAGTCTGGGACCACGCCAGCGTGGCCGTGTGCCAGGGCTGCGGTCCTGTCCCCCTGCGCGGCGTGGTGCCACCACGGCTTGGCGGCTGCCTGGGCAGGGACCAGGCGTCTGTCCATGCGTGTTCAGGAGGGTCTGTTGGAGCCATAGGGCAGCGGCACCTCGCGGCTGCCTTGGGGCGCTTGTACCTGGGCTTCTCTTCTGTAGAAACCAGGGGCGAGGGGCGAGCTTCTCCCGCTCACGGCACAGTCTGGCTCTGCCACAGACTAAGAGCACATGGGAGGTTTTGAGGAGAATTATGAATCGAATTAGTCTTCCTCTCTGCCACGATTCAAAGACTGTATATGCCATCTGTAGTCTTTCTTCTGCTGCTAGGAGAGCCAGAGGCCAGCGCCACGCAAGGCT